CTCACACTCATACTCATACTCATACTCATACTCATACTCATACTCACACTCATACTCATACTCATACTCATACTCATACTCATACTCATACTCATACTCATACTCATACTCATACTCATACTCATACTCAAGCCCGATGTAGAGATATACACAATTGGCCAAATCTACTAACGTCAGGGACACATTTGACCCGCGACAAAAGCCAGAGAACAGAAGACAACGCTGTACGCCCGAAATCCACGGGGGCATAATGATACATCGTGATTATACTTCCCCATCAGAGACAGGATCGGTAGCCTGTAAGTGTACTTTACTACTTTTTATCCGGGAAGTTGAATTGATCTTGACGTGTTAATCTAGGGTGCTAAGCATAGTGACGAAGTGAGAGGGGTACAATCGATGAACATTACTGGCGAGTCAAGCTGACAGCAACACAGTAACGCTTACAAGCAATGGACCGAGCGCATCGAATCGGTCAGACGAAACAGGTCCACGTCTATAGGTTCATCACAAAAGATACGATCGAGGAGCGAATCATCAAACGCGCAATGCAGAAGCTCAAACTAGACCAAATCATTATTGCCGCAGGTGGTGCGTAACAGGCTGCAGGCGCCCCGCAGAACCAAGAAGAACTTCTCGACATGATCCAGCACGGCGCAGACAAGATCAGGAATAGTCCCGAGAGCATGTCAATAAACGAGGAGCTTGACAATCTGATCCGCGAAGGCGAAGAGACAACCACCGCTCTCAATCGCGAATTCGCGGGGCTGAGCTTGGTTGCTCTCATAACCCACCAAACCAAGTTCAGGACAAAGCAGTTGGAGGGGAAGGATTACAGCAAGCCAAAGGCAGGTCGCTATAATAACCCAAGGGATATTTTGATGCTAACGGAGTGCTTTTTGATACATGTGTAGCCTTAGAACCGGCTTATAATCGAACTCGCCAAGCGACCACATCCCCAAGAAAAGAATTACTTGGAAAGTGGCCCCTGATTGGTGAAATGTTGATATGGTTTGAGATTTGCCCGAGTGTCATGCATGACTTCAGTCAGCATGCAGCATCACCTGACATCTTGTCATCAGCTGACAGATGCATAGTCGGTCAGCGCGGATGTCTGACAAGTCCGTGGTCGGCTGACATCAAAAGTGTCAGCCATCACTCACCGATCGTTTCGTTATTTGCAATCCGCGCGCCGCGCGTCGTACGAGTTTTGTTTCAAAGTGATCGAGGTCGCAGGCGACCCCGATCATCGTCTCTTCCCGCGCAGTATATATAGCGAGCTCTCAGACTCGATTCCCCCTCATCTTGTAATCCGTTTTGCTCGTCAGAGCAAGATCATATGTGAATACTATAGTCACGTGTTCTCAACTATAGCTTAGTGGTTCGAACCCACTGCCTTGTCATCAGTCTTAGCCTTAGTCCAGTTCCCTCTTGAGGTCATTGTCGTACCCAAGTGTCGAGTCTTAGCTCAACACCCTCCCGTTCGTGACACCAGCAGAACGGTGGTGAGATCCAGCCACCGTTGTACAGGAAAGTTTTCTAGCTATGGCAACAAGTAAAGGCGCAGCATATGTTGAAAGTAGCGTACCGAGTATATGTCGCGTATGTCGAATGTAGTGGAAGGAACGAGAATCGGAGTTAAGAAGGTGAGCGGTGATAAAGAGGTACAGAGAGTCGCATGATGATGACATATATCATGACAAAAATGATGGTCCCCTACTTGGATTTCGCGCTGCGGCCGTAATTGTTGGGAACGGACATTCCCACATGTGAGGTCTGCCATGACGCCATTATTTCCATACAGCGGCGCCGCCGAACGACCGGGGAACATAGTAAGCGTATGACCGCGATCTTCGTAAGCCTGTCGTACGGGAAAATCTCCATAAGGAGCTCCTCCAAACGAATGGCCTATGAGAGAATGAGCGCCAAATAACGCACGCAACAGTTAAAGGAGAGGCCTTGCGGATTGTGAACAGGTACGCCATACTAGTAATTCGTGTACATTTTCTTGCCGACTATTACAACCCCCTGACCGTTCTTCTGGCATTGTCGATGTTGGCATAGTCGTAGCTGGTCCCAAAGATGCAGGACCCGTCGTATCCCTAGGTGGGCCACGAAGTTCCATGCTGGCCACGATCAATCTGTTTGTCTCTGCCGCCATGCGACGAAGATATAGGTTCCCAGTGTTCAAAAGCGTGGCCTCTCCTTTACACTTGATCACGCAGTTGCAATATCCTGGTATTGTACGATCCTGACAGCATACACAGAAGAAGTATCAGCGAGTTGATACAGGTTCCGCTGTGATGGCGATGCGTCACACAACACAACCTGAGACGAACGTACCACCTCCTGCCGCAACACCTTCAACGCTCGAGACAAAGGCCATCTTTCATAGAAGCGCGCGGGGACAGAGTTTTGGGCACTTTTAGGCATTTTGAAGGTGGCAGACAGCACGGTTGTTAGTCAGAAGAATGGCAGATATAGAGAATTGCAACAGCTTACATAGAGGGGGACGTCGCGGTGCAGGTATTCCAGCTAATACGAGATTTGAACCGGTTTGAAGTTGGAGGCTGTAGAGATTGGTCTGCGATTTCGCTCAAACGTCCTAAGCTCTTTGACCGATCGTACGTGACTGAGTTGAACGCCAGATTCGACGGGAGTCTGCACCAGGTCCTGACACGATTAAGCTCAGATTTCATGCTAAATGGCTGGTGATAAAGAGCGAAAAGATGCCAGATTATGCATGTATTTTGCTTCAAACTGTCCTACGGTAATACCCCCTCCGATTACTCGATCGCCCGCACCCAAAAACGCGTGCCTGCCCGGCTGTGTTTGTCACTTTGCACTGAAAATAGCAAAGTGACATAGTTTTCTATATCACCTTGTCATTTTGTCACTTTGTCACTTCTAAATCCGGAATGAAGTGACAGAGATAGGTTGTAGCCTTAGGTCTCCTTAGGAGCCCTTGGACAGGGTTGGCCTCGCAACCCGTTGCCGACGTCTATATAAGACAGCCAGAGACCTTGTAAGTTTTGCCTATATGATTTATGAAACACGCTTTTCCTCCGTAACATCCTGATCAGCGCCTTGATTGTACTAACTATGATAGTGAGTAATCTTGCTAGATTCGCTACTACTAGTGGTCTGCATATTACTTTTAGCAAGTTAGCGGTTTACCCTATCCGACACAAATAGTCGTGAAGCATAATCCTTTCTGACCATCCCACTTAAAGATCTTGCACTGTTCATAGATAGTTATATGTAAGTCACGCAGTAGTGGAGTTACTCTAAGTCCAGTATTACTTGGACACCAACCAGCTCTGTTACTATAGCTGATGTTAATGTAGAAGTTGTATAGCAAGACTTATGATAACCACTGAGTGTTTTCAGTATCGAGATGATTCACAAGGTACTAGGTTCGTGTGATGATGTTATTTACGACTAGCGGTAATGTGTAAGCTGGTTAAGTTGATGATCGAAATGATGCTGAGGTCAAAAGGCTAAGTACAAAGTTGGTACAAGGCCAGTGGCGCTTCTAGTTACTCTGGTAAAGCGTGTCATAAGAAGTCATAGAGGCGAATATCACAACTGAGATAGATGGCTATATATACACGTTTTGGAATGGTGGCAAATGTCAGTTTGCCCTAGGCAGCCCATGAAGTCTCTAGGGCAGGTGAGTTGTTGCATTGTTAGCTGCATCCTTTGCAGTGTCAGCTTAAGCAATGGCGAGACGGCCAAAGGATTGTGGCAGAGCGGGCATAACTGACATTGCTAGAGGAGAGCATAGCGATTAGCTAGAGGCTAAGTCCTCCTTAGCCAGAGTTGGCAGACTTTGGCAAGCGCAGCGAGCGGGCAGGCAAAGTTGGCAACTTAACGGCCTTTGAGATTCCGATTAGATGTGGTTTGTGACGTGTGTATCCGGCCAACAGTAAGCCTTTGTAAGCACTGACGGGTGTGAGCACAGTGAGCGGTAGCTCAGCTGTTCCGAGGTAAGGGGAATCAGTTCGGCTTCTGTGTCATTTACAACAAGTTCCGGTTCTAGGCTTCACGGCGATATTATTACAAGTCAGTTCAGTTACAAAGCTATTCAGTTACAAGTCCAGAAGGCTCCTTTTGTATTTGGTTTTATCTTTTCAGCTACAAGTACAACAGTAGTGTTCGAAAAGAATTCCAGACAGGTTCCAGCCTTCTTCTTCTTCTTCTCGTCCTACTCGATGGCCTGGCAGACTCGGAAGAGAGGGGCGATGGCAGCCATGGGTGCGGAAGGCCGTAGCTAGGAGGGCTGTGTACGTAGCATCAGTCTCCTTACATTATATCTCATATATATACTATTAATTGATACAATGCTGCGCGACTCTTACAATGTCCTCCTCTTCAGACGAGTCGTCCATCAGATTCATATCGGCGGTGTTGTACAGGTCTTTGTTGTCGAGAACGCGTACAGGCATTTGAGAAGCTCGATCGAGGAAGACAGGTGCGTTGTCTGCCTCCTTTTCTTCGACACCGGTTGCAGGATTGTCGAGAAGCTGTAACACAGTATATGTCGGTACATGATAATGGTTTTATTTACGTCTAAAAGAGATCACGTTCTGCAGAAGCGTAGGTGCAATGCGTCTTTCCGCGTTACTGGTCAAGTTGTTGATGTTAGTGATTCCAAAGTACTCTGCGAGCATTTTCATAGAAGCCTGAAAGGTAAAGTTGCATGAGCAAAAAGGTAGATAGGACGACAGCTGATAACTTACATCATGGAACCACACACCGGGAGGCATGTTGTGTCGAGCAATGTTTCGGCTCAACATCATGGAGCTGGCTTCCATGTTGTCGGTTGAGAGTCGCTGTATAGCGCATGCCTTGTCTTGCACAGTAAGTGTACATCATTTATGCTAGTTCCCCATACAACGGCTGAGCTATCTCACTTCGGTAAGATAGACCTCTAGCCTGCGACAACTTTGGGGCCGCAGGTAGCAACAGAAGCGGCAGTGAAGAAAAGGCACAAAAAATGGAGCCATCAGGAGTCGAACCCGAGACCTCAACCACGCAAGCTCTGAAGCGAATGCTAAGATTGCGCGCTACCAACTGCGCCATAGCCCCTTGCTGATGCTCTGTCATCAGTTTTATCAATATGAACGCGGTAGTTTGTGCTTCTCAAAGCTTGGCAACATACATTTGGAAAATCACTCTTGCGCAACCGCCCGCTCATTTTTGCTAGGCAAAACCGCATTCCCTGGTCCGTGCAATCTCGCCTTGTTGTCCAAGAGCACTTCCAACGGCACAAAATAGATTAGCCCCGGCCTGCTTTTGGGTGTTCTCTTCTTGTTATGATGTTGGCGCTGCTCAGAACGTACGGAAAGAATGAATGAACCGAGCAGAGTCTTTAGGATTCAGGCCGCAGCGTACTCGTGAACATCATGAACAATACAATTATTCAATTAGAAGTGGTCCTGGTCGCTCTTCGCTGGTAAGTCTTTCCTATAGTGTCGAAGATTGTAACATTATAAACTGTAGTAAGAAAGCAGACAAAGTAAACGGTCACGCGCAACTGCGTCGCACTTTTGTGCAAAAGTAGGCCGTAGTCTGTCGTGAACTTATGAACTCAAACTAGGTGTGAACGTTGGCAATATCAAAATGGCTCAGGATCAAAAGAGCAACAATAGGGGATCGGACAAGGGTCATCATTCAATGATACAATGACCAACCATCAACAGTTCTTCATATGCCCTAACGAGCCTTTCCCATCCGATGCGCCTGACATAATCTTTGTTGTTCTCAGCAGATTTTCGTTCTCAACTTCATCATTCAAACCATCTCATCCGAGCTCATCATTCACAAGAAAGTAAGAAGCTGGAAAATTCGATCTTATACATCCATCAGCGGTAACCTCACTCCGGTGCACATCGTTGCAGTAGCCAGGGAGAGAATTTCCCCGGCCACAAACCTGGGTCATCCGACTTTGTTTCTTCTTCACGCGTAGTCTCAAGGAACTGAACAAGCCAACACCCGAAACTCTGAATATCAGCCTCCAGTGACAATCGACCAACCCCCCTCTTCCTCCTAGCTCGATTCCGTATGCATACAATGTTGTATCCCTCGTGCGCTTATCAAGTGGAGTTCATCTCTCTTTGAAGAAGCCGAAAACAGGAAGAGTCAAGAAGATTCATTTGCGATGGTTTGTAGACTTCATACCACACTCTGTTCACCCTAGATCGTAACATCCATCGCGCGCTGCTCAAACAAATGCTGTGACAAGGAAAGATGGGAGAACTGATAGGTAGTCACTGAGCCGGACGAAGTTTCTGTCTGGCTAACATTTACAGCGAGCCAGTGATGCGCAACCGAGTCGGCAAGTAAGAGACGCCACCATTATACCTACCGAAAAGCAGCAAAGTCTGAGCGGACAACGTGTGTCCACCTGAAAAATCAGATTGATGGAAACTGTGCTGCAAGGTAAGCAGACACAGCGGGAAACAGAAAGACACTGAACACATCGAGGAAATCGTACGCACCGAGTCTATGAGTCGACACGTTACGTGCTGCCTCCTTCCAGAAGTACTGCGCCGCTGGACATACGTCTGTTTTCACCTCTCGACCGCTGAAAAAACCCGTAAACCATCCTATTTCTGGCTTGACAGTCTGACGAAGGACGACTTGCACAGCAGCCAAGGGAAGAGCCCATGCGACAGTCATGCACCTGCCTTGTGGTGACGAAGCGAGATCAAAGCCACATACGTGGACAAGACAGAGGAGTTCCTATAATGACAGAACAAACAATATTACAAATCCCCCACTGACATACGATCGACCTGCAAATACGAAGTCGCAATCATACGTAGGGACCTTCTGACGAAAGGGGACGGGCGGCTCGGATGATGTCCCCGCGTCAAGCGTGCAAACATCTATACGTAGGAAAGACACGCAGGGAGACGGCGATCTGATTCCAAGATCCTGACACAGCCTTCACATGGAGAAAAACCGTCGGCCATACTTCCATCGAGGCAGAAACCTACAGAAGCAGTCCGGCCTCCTGCTTGTACGCGCGGTACAAACCGTCCTGTTCTCCCAATGTATAAGCCAACGTCATTTTCTGCAGCAAGCTCGCTTCATCAGAGTCCGAAGACAGGGAAAGCTGTGTAATGTGGGAAAGAAACGACAAAGTTGGTGAGCAAAAGGGGGCCCTCCCGTAGAAATTTAATTACGCACCAACGAGATCAAGTCACTCAGCAAGTGGGCCTTTCCTATGTTGATCCCAACGTAACCCTCATTTTCGAGAGCGACGATATGAACGTGGAAGTGATCTAAGGGATGATTGACGATTAATGGACTGAATGCAGCTCCAACTTGTGCAGGTGGTACTTACAGTAGCTGGGCTGATAGTGAACAAACATTCGAATCCGACTGGGTTCCAAACCAAAGTTGCCTTTCACGACGTTTTCCGACGAAGCCTTGATGTTGAGCAGGAGAGGCAGATGTTGCTTCTTCAAATCACGCATCGATCTGATAGACTTGTCGAATACGATAGCCGTAAGGTACTAATAAGATGCAGGGAATTGGAGTCAGTAGGCTACCCAACAATGTGACACATTATACGCACCAAAGTCGACACCGTCTTCCTATCCCATTTCAGGTCTGGCAAGATCAAAAATCCCGTCCGGGGATCAGGGTCTTCGAACAGAATCCTGTCAGCCTCTTTTTCGTGGTTCAGGATATTGTAGACCCTGCAAACCATAGTAGCATCAGTACCCATAAAACGGTTCATATGAGCTCTGCATAATGCTCACCATTGAATTCGGCTGGCGGGAAACCCATCAATATAAGGTTTGACCAACCGTTCGTACAGCTCCGGTGTTTCTTCCACCATGATCCTCTTCTGGGTTTCATACTTTCGAACATGTACATCCGTTGCCGGGTAGATGAGCGTAATCTTGACATCCGGTCTGGATCGATCCACAGCCCACCAAGCCTGAGCCCAGCGATACTACGCGAAAGGAGTCAAGGAGTCAATGATGAGATTCCAGCAAGAGAGTGCCTCGAATACAAACAGCCGACCCACGATATCGTTATCCTCCAGCGGTGCCACTTTCTCGAACGCTACAGCCTCCGCCGCAACTGTCTTTGCCTTGTCCTGTGCGTCCTTGTCGTCGACGTTGGTGCCAAGCGGAGCGAGGTCAAAGGTTGTCTTGACGAGATGAGTGATCGCTTGCTGACCGGTAATTGATCCAAGCAGGTAGACCGACGGTGTGGATGTGCCTGTACGGAGCAGTTGTTATCTGTCAGAATGATCGTACGAGGCTGTAAACAGCAAAGGCCCAACGTACTGACGGAAAGCACCCTCTCGAACGCGAATGCAGCGAGCAGCGCGGCAGTCGACTGATCGGACATTCTGGTTGAAGAAAGAGTGTGTGTGTGTATGTGCTTGCCGATGAGCGGAATCGGTACCTCAGCCGGGATTACGAGAACACCAAGTGAAGATAGTGGATGTAGGACAGAACATGATGAACAGAATGATTTGAACGGAAAGAGAAGGGAAAAGATGTTGGTTGACAGAAGCTTGGCAAGTTTGGAAGGAAGGGGTTGATGCTCAATAATCTGAAACGCAAGACCAAACCAACGCGCGCGTGTCGCGCGTCTCTACATGACGATGCATCAAGCTATGCATCATCATGCTATCTATAAGCTTCTTGCTTCTTTATACACTTTCATTTTGAGCTACCTAGTCTATCGAACAAGCCCCGCGAACCCGGGATCATACTTGAACTCGTCGCTATTCCTCACCAGATCCCTAACCTCCCTTGCAGGCCGGCTAATAGGCCCTTGGTCCATCGAAATACACACCAGCGTCATCCTCGTCATATCCTCGAGCAGACCCAGTCCACGGAAGAGTTCCGGGTGGATGTGCATTATTTGCAGAATGCAGATGGACCGAATTGGTATCGGGCTCTCCGGTACGAGGATACGTGAGCTGTACGCATGAAGATAGGCTTAGTGATAGCTCGGAACATCGCCTACGGACAGCAGTACTCACATCAGGATCGGTTTAACTCCTTCAGGATCCCACAACGATAGTCCCGCAATCAGTTTACCGATGGCATTCGAAAAGGCATCTACAGTGAAACAGGTCCGAGTCAGCAAAGGCAACCGGTCTCCTTCAGCACACTAACGACATACCAGGCGTCTTCAAGTCGAAAGCTTCGTCAATCATCTCCACCAAATTAGCCTTGACTGCGGGTCCGATATTCTTTCCTGCCGTTCGCACGACAGCCGCAAGCGCCTCAACAATAGATGGCAGAATGTCGTTTTCAGCCGTTCTCGAAGCCGTGATCAATTCTGTTATCAGTGGGTCCACTCGGGGCTAGAGTACGAGAATTGCCGGTTAGCTGGAGCTCGAGGCTTTTTGGTGGAAACAGTGCTTACCTGATGCTTCATCAACTCGCCAAGACCAGCAGCAGCACGATTTCGGACGGAAATACTGGCCGGATCTGTCACGCTCTTGATCATCGTTCGTGTCAATTGAGGGTGGAACGGTCGAACGAGCAACGGTACTTCTTCAAGCAAAACTGTCAACGTTGACAGGCTGTCAAGGAAGTCATGTCAGGCAGAAGTTCTTCCAAGTAGTCAATAATAATAAAACTCACATAGCGCTCTTAATCTGCGCTGCAACAGTACCACTGCTAATGACTCGGATCAACGGACCAGTCAACTGAATGATGTATGGCTTGATAGCGGCCTCCGAGGTTCGCTGCACCAAATCGCCAATACCGTAAGAAGCCTGCTCCTTTTGCTCCTGGGTACCGCTCAGTAAACCCGCCAACAAAATGGGGACAATCGGTTGGATACCCTTTGGTCGACAGAATCCAGGTACTTCGGAACCTGGAGACGATGTCGATTCAATGCTCCTTCGCAAGGGAACGACCAATTCCTCGAGATCCTCCTTGTCCATGGATTTCACCAGAGCATCAAGAGCGGACCAAGCAGAAGTAACAACTTTTTCGTCTCGGTCCGCAAACAAGGTCAAGAGCTGGCGCACCCAGTCAATTCGATAGGTCGAGGCGTCCAGGTCGTCATTGACTTCGCAAAAGATGGCAAACAAGTCACAT